GAAAGAGTGAATAAAGAAGTTTTATTTAATCCTTCTCCTAATACCAGAATGGAGGATTACAATATGAATGAATAGGTTGCAGGTTTGAAACAAATAAAAGGAAGTATTTCACTGGGTATGAAACAACTTCCATTTCAGGAGAGATTAAAAAGACTGGGACTCTTTACCTTGGAAAATAGCTGAATAAGGGGGATATGATAGCAGGTCTATAAAATTATGACAGTGGCTCGAAGGTGAATCCAAAGCAGTGTGTGTGTGTGGACTTTCAGGTGTAAGATCTCACCAGAAGGTTAAGATCAAGTGTAGTGTCTTAACTATAGTCAACCCAAAGGCTCAGGGCCATCCTTACGATTTATGGTGCCCTAGGGGGGATTATTAAACTGGTGCCCCTCTGCCTGACTTGCTCTTCCACCCCTACTCCCTCCCCTTCCCAGAGACCCCAGCAGCCAATCCCCTCCCTCAGACTGCGCTGCCGGCAGCACATTCGGCTCTCTCAGGGACCCAGAATCAGTGATTATCTGTTCCCCCTGAGACACCTACCATTGGTTTGATCCAGCAGGGCCGTCCTTAGGATTTATGGTGCCCTATTTATGGGATTATTAAACTGGTGCCCCTCTGCCTGACTTGCTCTTCCACCCCTACTCCCTCCCCTTCCCAGAGACCCCAGCAGCCAATCCCCTCCCTCAGACTGCGCTGCCGGCAGCACATTCGGCTCTCTCAGGGACCCAGCCCTGCTGTTACATGTGTAACCCTTCCGCCGGGTAGGCCCGGCAGCAACCAGGGCTGCCTGGCGGGTTATTGCGCAAGAACGGCTGTTCTTCCGTAAAGCGTCCACACTGCCCGCCCGTTCTTGTGCAAGAAGATGTACAGTACAGCATGGTGAGAGAGGACTTCTTGCACAAGAGCTCTGCTCTTTTTTATCAGGTGTAAGCTCTCTTGCACAAGAGCTCTTGCGCAGGAGGGCAGTGTGGACGCTCGGCAGGGGTTTCTTGCGCAAGAGACTGTCTACACTGCCATGGATGCTCTTGCGCAAAAGCACATGCCAGTGTAGACGCTCTCTTGTGGAAGAGTTTTTGCACAGGAACTCTTCCACAAAAGAGTTCTTGCGCAAGAAGCTGCCAGTGTAGACGTAGCCTCAGAAAATAAACTTTTAATGAAAAAGAGAAAAGTCACATGGCATTATCTTGGGGAAATACCACAACAGGATTCATTTACCCAAACGTTCTCCGTACCCACTTCAGACGCCCCACTTACAGCTCTGTCCAGTCAGTGCAGACCGTGACACATCATCCAGATGACTCCCCTCCTTGAGCCTGAGGCTAGGCCACCTTTGTGCTACTCCTGTAGTCCGCTGGCTGCTCCCGCCAGCTGGTCATTCCCACCAGACACTCCACTGGCTGCAATGGGTCTGGCTCCCAGCCAAACCAGTGATTTCAGCTCTTACTGATTTCAACTCTTTAGCCATCACCTAGGCTGGCAAAAGATTCCAGCTTCCACTGGATTAGCAAAAAGACTCCTCATGGAGTCTGCTTTAGGTCTGTCTTTGAAACAAAGGGGGAAGGGGCAGGTTGGGCCAGTCTTACAGCTCACACCTGGCAGGTAGGAAGCAGCCTGACTCAAATCTCAAGCCGTTTCCACCCCAACTCAACTCACTCAACTCTGGCGGGGGGGGGGGGGGGGGGGGGGGGGGCT